GTGAATCATGGAACACTACATCAAAACTAATGATGTAATGTATGGTGACTAACATAATAAAATAAAATTTTTTAAAAAATTACATTGTATTTACAATTTACAATTACATTGTTGTATATAGATGTCTAGTTTTTTTAAATGAATCTTATATCCAGCTATCTTTTTATATTCTTTTTCTAATAATACGTAGATTTTCTTTGGGATTGCTATGTAGAAAATTATAGCTTCCCTACAAATTTTTCTTTTTTAAAAAAATTTTAATCCTTTTCACTGTATTTTGCTTTCTTTTTGTCATTACATGCTGGCAAGGTCCCTGAGAAAATCGTGAATAGAAACAGTGATAGTAGTCAGTGTCATCTTACTCCTTATTTTGGAGGCATTGCTTCTAATCTTGTACCATTAGGTATCTTCTAAGTTTGGAACTCAGTTATAAAACCATCTGGGCCTATGGGAAGATACTAATTTTCTTTTAAGGGTATAATTTAAAAACTAATACGTTCACATGGTTCAAACCCAAAAAGGGATTTCAAAAGGGTAGGGGAGTTACAGTGAGAGATATTCTTCTAATCTCTGTCATCCATCTTATTCAGTGTTAAATTTTTAGTTATCTTTTTAGTTTCTTTATGCAAATGTAAATGTAAATTTTTATTGATCTCCCTCTTTTCACAGAACTTAGTATATTATACACACTATTTTTCACCTAGAGTTGAATTTTTTTTTTTTTTTTTTTTAAGATTTTATTTATTTATTCATGAGAGACAGAGCTAGAGAGGCAGAGGGAGAAGCAGGCTCCCAAGGAGCAGAGAGCCCGATGCGGGACTCGATCCCAGGACCCTGGGATCATGACCTGAGCCGAAGGCAGACGCTTAACCATCTGAGCCACCCAGGCACCCTAGAGTTGAATTTTAACTTAACAATATCTGGTCATCTTTCGTCCTTTCTTTCTTTTTTAAGATTTTATTTACTTATTTGACACACAGAGGGAGAGGGAGAGAGTAAAAGCAAGCAGGGGGAGCATCAGGCAGGGCAGAAACAGGCTCCCCGCTGTGCAAGGAGCCTGATGTAGGGCTCAATCCCGGGACCTTGGGATCATGATCTGGTCATCTTTCTATTTTGTTCATAGAAAACTTTTTCATTCTTTTTGATAGCTGTATAAAATTTCATTATATGGTTTTACCAGTATTCAACTAGACTTCTGATGGTGGATATTTGGTGTTTTAATCTTTTGCTGTGGCAGACAGTGTTACTTATAAATAAGCTTGGGCATGTACTGTTTTGTACTGGTGTGAGTAGATGGGAATGTTTTTAAACTACTTTTAAAAGAAATAGGGTTTTTTGATAGCTGCATAATATTCCATTGTATATATATACCACATCTTCTTTATCCATTCATCTGTTGATGGACATCTTGGCTCTTTCCATAGTTTGGTATTGTGAACATTGCTGCTATAAACATTGGGGTGCACGTACCCCTTCGGATCACTACATTTGTATCTTTGGGGTAAATACCCAGTAGTGCAATTGCTGGGTCGTACAGTAGAGGTTATGTGGTATGGTGAGCACTGTAAATTGTGTAAGACTGATGAATCACAGACCTGTACCTCTGAAACAAATAATACATTATATGTTAAAAAAAAAAAAATAGGAAGGGAAAAATGAAGGGGAGGAAATCGGAGGGAGAGACGAACATGAGACTATGGACTCTGAGAAACAAACAGGGTTCTAGAGGGGAGAGGTGTGGGGGGATGGGTTAGCCTGATGATGGGTATTAAAAAGGGCACGTATTGTATGGAGCACTGGGTGTTACACGCTAACAATGAATCATGGAACACGACATCAAAAACTAATGATGTAATGTGTGGTGATTAACATAATAAAATTAAAAAAAGGAGTAGTTATAAGACTAGGTTTGCTGTTCTTGAGTTAGTTTTAGTAAATAATATTTTTCTAGGAATTTGTCTTTAATCCATTTTCAAAGTTTTTGTAATAAAGTTGTTGGTAGTATTCTTTTATTGTTTTAATGATTTTTTAAAAAATTCCTAATATTTTAATTTATGTCTTCTCTCCACAGACCAGCTTGACTTTATTGATTCCCTCTATCACGTCTTTTTTTTCTGTTTTGTGGATTTCTGCTTGAAACTTTATTATATTTTCTTTAACTTCAGTCTATTGAACTTCATTTTTTTTCAGATATACACATTAAGGTTATAAATTTCCTTCCTAATTGTATCAACTAAATTTTGATTCATGGTGTTTCATCACTCTACTCTTGTGTTTAGATCTCTGTCTGATCTTTTAAAATTCCTGACTTATAAATAATTAAAAAGAAGCATATTGAAATTGGATTTGTCAACTTTTATATGTAGTTCTATTAATTTGCATAGAATATTCTTTGCTTCTAGGAAAACATAAAAAATGAGGCAAAAAAAATGAAAGAGCATTTTATTTTTATTTTTTTTTAAGATTTTATTTATTTGAGAGAGAATGAGAGAGAGCACGAGAGGGAAGAGGATCAGAGGGAGAAGCAGACCCCCCGCTGAGCAGGGAGCCCGATGTGGGACTTGATCCCGGGACTCCAGGATCATGACCTGAGCTGAAGGCAGTCGCTTAACCAACTGAGCCACCCAGGCACCCTGAAAGAGCATTTTAAAATCAACTAACTGAGGAATAATTACATACCTGCTTATATTTTATATATTATGAGGCTATTAGGTGCATACAAGTTTTAGAATTGTTAAATCTTGGTGAATTCCCTTTTTTTTTTCGTGTTTTTTTAATTTAAATTCAATTAACCAACATACAGTACATCATTGGTTTCAGATGTAGAGTTCGATAATTCATCAGTTGCGTATAACATGCAGTGCTCATCACATTGAATTCACCTTTTATACCTGGTAATACATTTGTTTGAAAGCTCATTTTTTCTGATATATAGCTCATGTCTTAGAAATGGAGAACATTGTATGCAAAAGAAAGGTGTGGGAGAATTAGCATTTTATTTTCTTCTTAATGCTCTTTTAGGTTTATTTTCTTTGTTGTTAATAACAAGCAAAGTCTGAGTTCGATTTTCTTTAGTTCCCTCCCCCAAAGGTGTTTTGGTGGTATGGGATATGTTTAAGCTTTGGAGCCAGATAGATAGAACACTTAAAGGACCCACACACTTTCTGTCATGTTCCTTTGCCTCCTCTAAGGTGTTGTCCCTGCCTGCATTGCTGAAATGATTTATTCCTACCACATTCTCTTTCCAACCTGTAAGGTGGGAGAAAGCAAATGGAGAAGTAGCAGCTCCCTTTTAAGGGCTTGACCTGGAAGTTGCACTTGACACTTCTGTTCACAGCCCTTCTTCACCCCAAACTAAATAACACAGCCAAGACTGAGAAGCACAGTCTTTGAGGTGTGGCCATAAGCTAGCTACATTTGGGGTGGTGGTGGGAGGGGGCCTCTTATTAAAAGGCAGACGAGGAGAATGTGAAGTAACCAATTAATGTTTATTGAATTGTTTTATAAAATGGAGATAATGTTCTTTGCAGTTTGGTTGTACGAATTAAGTCAAAGAGTGGATGTAAATCATCTAACATAGTATCTGACCCAGAGTAGGCATTCAGCAAATGTTAGTTTGCTTCTCTTTATGAGCTTTTCTCTGAAACCTGATTGTTTTTGCCATCTGCTAGAACTTGGTTCTTTTGCTCTCATAAATTAAACACAATATGTTAATTTTAATGCTCTTGATTTATTTGTCAATATATTGGTATAGTAATTACTTTTTGAAAGTATTGATTAGAGTGCTAGATGTCATGAGTATTTTTTTGTTATTATTTTACATTTTAAAAATTTTATTATGTTATGTTAATCACCATACATTACATCATTAGTTTTTGATATGAGTATTTTTTTTTCCCAAATGCCACGCTGTGTGCAGTTTTATTTTACACACATGGCACCATATTTGTAATTCTTCCTAAGAAACAGTGTTTTATGGCATTTTTCTGTGTCCATAAATATAGGTCTCTGGCATCATTTTTATAGAATAGCTTTATTGAGGCATAATTGACATAAAAATATATATACACACATGTAAAATAAGCTGCAACATGTCAAAACGTACAGTTTGATAATATTTGACATTTATACATCTATGAAACTTTCACCACAATAAAGATAATGAACATATCCACTGTCCTAAAATGTTTTTTCATCCTCCTTTGTAACTTTTCCTTCCTAACTCCTGTGCCCCTACAGCAATTACAGATCTGTTTTCTATTACTATAAATTACTTTACATTTTCTAGATTTTTATATAAATGGAATGTATAGTTTTTTTTTTTTAAGATTTTATTTGAGAGAGAGACAGAGCACGAGCAGGGAGGAGGGGCAGAAGGAGAGGGACAGGCAGGCTCCCCGCTGAGCAGGAACCTGAGATCATGACCTGAGCTGAAGGCAGATGCTTAACGGACTGAGCCACCCAGGTGCCCCGGAATGTATAGTTTCTAGTAAAATTTTTAATGCCTGTTGGTATTTCATTGTTTGGGTGGACCATACTTGAATCCTCTATGCTAATAAATATGTAGGTTGACTATTTCTCCCTGCTCTTATAAACTGTGCCTTGCTGTATTACAGTGTATATACAAGGGTGAATATTTGGAGCTATATGTCCTTAGGATAAATTTCTAAAAGTGTATTGTTAAATCAAAGACTGTGGTACCCTTTGAGACCATGTATATGCCAAATTGCCCTCTAGGCTAGTCACTTTACATTTTTGCTAGCTTTCCTTAGTGAGGTCATTCCTTCTCCAAGAATTAAAAAAAGAACCTTTAAAAAAATATTGTAGGACAAAAGCAATATCTTGTGTTATTATAGTTCTCCCACCCCCCCAACTAATGATATGCTTGGGAAATAATGAATGACTTAATGGAAGTCTAGTTTATGCAAACTGTTTATGTTTAATATGAACTATTATTTTGGTTGGCTTATCTCAGTAATTGTCTTGTGTTCTTTTTAAAGGTTTGTTATTGAACTTTGTGAACCAATTCAAGTAAAACAGCTTGATATTGCAAATTATGAATTATTTTCTTCAACTCCTAAAGACTTCCTGGTTTCTATCAGTGACAGGTAAATGCTAAAGCTGCTTTCTACAAGTTTATGTTGGATCTCCAGAATAAAAATTTTAAGATGGGTCACTTTTTAAAACTTCATTTTATTTTTTATTTTAATATATCAATTTGTAAGAATATAATAATACGGTAGTATTAGGCACTTGCTAATCAACTTACTTTCATTAAATCATATAGTGTTTATAATCATATGATATTATTCCTTTATAAGGTGAGGAAACAGACAAGGAAAGGTCACATAATTTGTGAATTGGAGAATCAGAATTCAAACCTAGATCTGTCCTTATTTTTAATTATTATGCTCTGTTGCTGCCAAACATTTCTTTAAAAAGTTAGTAAAAACTTTCATGAATACTTCATTTTATATATCATGAGGTATATTTTTGTTAAAGTATAATTTAAAACTTTGTTACGTGTGTATGATTATGAAAGAATTAACATAAGGAATTTGATAAAGAATCACATTCCATTCAATCAAAGATAATTTATTAGCATTGTAATATATTCCTTCCAGGCTTTTCTGTATATTCATATATTTACTAATTCTATTTAAAAAAATCAGCTTTTACTGCTTATATCCTGATAATATCCTTTTGCCTTTTAAACACCATTTAAAAATTTTTGAGTATAATTAACATACGATGTTACATTAGTTTCAGGTGTACAACATATTGATTCAGTAATTCTCTACATTAAGTATACATTTTTAATGAATGGTTTATATTTTTCCCCCACTGGAGGTGTTTACTCATTCAATAAATACTTTTTGAGTGTCTCTGATGTGGCATGTAGAGTGCTGTTATTTATTTAACCATTCTTCTGTTGTTGATCATTAATGGTTTCTCATGCTCTTCTCCCACCTCACACTCTGCACTGCATATATGCAGTTATTGAAATTAATTCTCAAGACCTCTTGAATTCCATCCATTTTTCACCTAATAACCTTGCTCAGATCACTTCTTTTTCTCTAAGCTGTTATTTTCTTACATGTCAAGTGGACATACACAGCTTTAACAAGTAAAGTGTTTTTTTGTTTTAATAGCACTCCATTACTTTGAGGGATTTTTAAAACACTGTAGTAAACAAAAATAATACTTTAAGGCTTTTATGTTTGATTTTCTTTTAAAGATGGGGAAACAGCTATGTAAGATCTGTGAAATTCTAGTCTAATGGTAAAGGATATTTTCTGTTTCCCTTTCCACCAGCACTTTTATTTTTATTTTATATCATCACACACTTCTTAGTACATGAAGAGTAGTACCTGCTTCCAAAACAATCTCTTGGCTACTCTGTTTTAAAACCTCCAGTTTACTTGGAAGCCCAAGAAGCCACTTTGGTCCTACTTTTTGTCTTCTCCTTCTTGTTTTCTCTTTGATAATGGTGTGAGTTTTGCAAGATATTCTTTCCCTGTAAAGAGGAACTTGTCACAGTTTAGTTGGAAAAGAAAATGCATTTCTTCAACTCAATATTTTACTATTTAAACTATGTTAAGTGAGTGTGTGCACCTGGAGAGGAAAAAATTAAACAGGATATATTTTGAAGATGTGATGGAACCTCTCAATATGTGGTTTATAAATTTTAAAAAGAATGTTTATATTTATATTTCCTAGATATCCCACAAATAAGTGGATTAAGCTGGGTACTTTTCATGGTAGAGATGAGAGGAATGTCCAGAGTTTCCCTTTAGATGAACAGATGTATGCAAAATATGTGAAGGTAATGTTTATACCTACAGGACTATGTTTTATAATGAAAACATACCTACTATTCATACGTTTTTATACCTCACCCCACCTTTTTAGAAATCATAAAACTTAAGAGGAAATTTAATGCAGTGTTCTTTTTGATAAAATGATTCTCACTTGCATTTATTATTTTATGAAACAAATATTAATACATTTCCTTTTGTATAACTGGAAAGTTAGGCTAATCGTTTTGATATTTGCAGCTCTGATGAAATTTCAAATTTTTTAAAAAGTTTTATTTATTTTCTCAGAGAGAGGGGGAGAGAGAGAAAGAGAAAGAGAGGACACAAGCAGGGGGAGCGGCAGGCAGAGGGAGAAGCAGGCCTCCCGCTGAGCAGGGAGCCTGATGCAGGACCCGATCCCAGTACTCTGGGATCATGACCTGAGCCGGAGACAGACACTTAACTGACTGAGCCACCCAGGCATCCCTGAAATTTCAAATTATGTCTTAATATTTTTTTGAGTCTTAATGTAAAATGTCATCTTCATAGTATCATGTCTTTCTGTATTTCAAAGTCCAAATCATTGTTAGTCACTGAAGTCTTTAAAGCAGGTCTGATTTTTTTATTAGAATCTGGTTCTTAGATCGTTTTAATTTTAATATCCAGTTATTTGTCTTACATCTTTTGCCTTTTCTGTTGTATATTCAAGTGAAATATTCTTTGTCCAAATACCAATTTCAAGTAAACTTTTAAACACTTTTATTCAGTATTTCTGCTGCTTCCTCCACCAATGTAGAGAATGAATTATCTACCAAAGTAGAATTATTACTCTTGAATTGGATTTTAGACAAAATACAGGAATTTCCTACTCCTCTCCTCCCCTCTTTTTTTCTTTAAAATAATAGCACACCTTAAAGTACCACTGTGTTTTGGAATAATAGCAGCTCTGATTTCTGTCTTTTCTTCTTTAAATGTGAGGACTTATAGCTACCTGATCGTCCTCAGGGATTTTACTGTCTGTCTTTTTTAAGCATGTATTAAATTGGCTTCTATGAATGGGTAAACTTGTAGTATTCCTAGTCTCAATATAAAAATGCTAAATTCTATTTTTAAAATACAGTTGATATTCTCAGTTAATGGTTCAGCAGTGCTCAGAAAAATGAAGGTATATTTTCCATTTCTTTTAAACAATTGTTTAATGACCTTTTTATATAGCAGTTTCTACACTGTGATAAGGAAAAATTTTAAAAATTATTTGGCAGGTGATACAATTAATTTTACAATTAAGGCAACCCACCTATTAATGAAATAGTTCCAAGAATTATTCTTTATACCATCTACTTTTTTAATAATGGCAGAACATAATTTATTGGTGGTATAAAAAGTGTCATTTCCTACTTGGTTCTTTTTATGGTGGGACACTATAGAGCATCTTGATGATTATTCTAAAAAGTTCTTTTTGGTAGCATTCTAAAAGCAAAAAACATTTAATTCTAATTCTAATGTCGATAAATATATAAATTTACGTGGGTTTTCCTTATCCCAAAACTAAACCCAGATATACGGTCTACTTTTAATAGCCTATATTTTAAAAGTGGATTGATATATATCTTTTAGTTCTGTAAGTTATACTTGAAATAACATAGCATCCAAAAAAATTCATGTTTTCCCTAAAAAAATTTGTATACAGTATGGTACAAGAATAAATGCTATTTTATATTATGCTAGTTAATCTTTTTATCAATATGTATGTACATGTGTATATCCACATATGTATCTATATATAGGTATATACATGATACATATCTATAATAATTGAATTAATATAAGACACAGGTTGTTTCTAGATACTCTTTATTACTTTTAGAATGTTTTTATCCCTGACAGATAAATAAAACAGCAGCAATGAATTTTAGGTTATTCAGCTTAACCTTAAAGTTAATTTCATTACAGTTAGATTATACTTTCTAGCTGTGATGGTAAAAATTTAAACCACTGATTTGATTTCTGCAAAGAAATGAGAGTACTACAATGTTATCCATCACAGTACATTGCTTTCTATAGTTAAACAATATAATTTACAAATATTAAATGTTGCTTATGGCATGTTATCCAGACTTTGGAACTGATTTCTTTTTCTTTTCCTTTCTCTTGCTTCAGATGTTCATCAAGTACATAAAGGTTAGCAACCTTCTCTTTTGCAATATTGAATAACAGGGCATGGCATATTACTGCATGGCAAAAAAGCAAAACTTTACAATTATTGATTTTTGGGGAAATGAGGACTTTATTTTTAGAAATGTTATAATGAAAGAAACTGCATATATTGTTAGATAATCTCATGTGCGCTGTGCTTTTATTCTTTAGGTAGAGTTGGTATCACATTTTGGATCAGAGCACTTTTGTCCATTAAGCCTTATAAGGTAATACAGAACAACAGACATTTATTGAGTGATTTTTTTTTAAAGTGATACACAAAAATCCCAGCATATTTAAAGTGAAGAAATAATTTTCTCCTATGTGAAGTTAATACTATAGAAACATAAGCTGTTAAGCCCTTCTTGTCCTTGAATCCGTTTTAGAAAAACGTAAAAATTTGCTCTAAGAAAAAATAACCATTATGTATGTCTGGCCTAGCTTGCTTGCTATTTTGCTATGATGATAGTATATGGAAAATTCTTAGACTGATAAAACTGGCCGTCAAATTTTAAATGCCTTAAATAGATAAAATTTTAAGGGAAACAGTGGATGGATGACTACAGTGTAAGAAACAGTCATTATTTTGGAGTCCAAAAGCTAATGGCCCTCAAAAAAATGACCAAAGTTAATGTATTTTGTCATGTATTATGAAGAGATGAGTCTTAACAATTTAGTTTTATTTTGAAAGTCTTTAATGCAATTGTTGTTAATAGGGTATTTGGCACTAGCATGGTCGAAGAATATGAAGAGATTGCTGATTCCCAGTATCAGTCAGAACGTCAAGAATTATTTGATGAGGACTATGGTAAGTGACTTTAAGACATGTGACTATTATGTATATTTTTTTGTTTTTTAAAGTCTAATAGCCTGAAGGGATAGGAGAAGGTTTTATGACACCCTCCATTTCTACTTTATTAAGTCCTTGTTTTAAGAGATCTTAAATCATAGCCTGAAAAAGAGAATTTTTCCCTTCCTTAATTTTCCTATAAGTGAAATGAAGATATTTATCAGGGGTTGGTAAAGTACATGGAAAACTTAATAAAGTCTCATAAATGTGATTAAAATTCTGGTAAACAGTGGAATTATTTTCCTTGGCTTAAAACATCTGTTTGATAAATGGCTTCTGAATCTCATTTTCTTTTTGTGAACATATTTTAGGTGTATAGTGAATATTTATTATAAAATATGCTTTAAATGACAGCTGACTTTGACAGGACATAATTTGAGCTTTTAAACATATTACTGAAGGTAGTTCACAGTGTAATTACCTTCATTTTCTCTTTAAACAGATTATCCGTTGGATTATAATACTGTGGAGGATAAATCCTCAAAAAATCTTCTTGGTTCTGCTACAAGTGAGTATTTGGGATTTTTCTAGACACTATTAAAATATTTCCCAACCTTTTTTTCCCCCTGAAATATGTGGATATTTTGTTGTGGTATATGGTTTGGGAAGCTCCTCCTCCCAATGTTTAACTTGAGTTGAAATCAAAGATACTAGCATTGAAATGTATTTCCTTAGGGATAAAATAGGAGGGGTGAATGAAAAGAAAGAGGAGAGGAAAAAATGCAAGCACAAGTTGGTTCTTCTACCCTAACTAAGTGCTTATATTTTTAAGCAGATTCCTTAGAAGAATAGGCTATAAATTTACTTTGGGAAAGAATTATTAAAGAGCTCCAGACCATATGAGTAGAAGTATCTGGGTAGTCATTCTAAGTGGGAAGGGAATTCGAATGGTAGTTCAGAGGTAGTAGGCATCAGTGAAATCTTAGCAAACAAGAAATCGTTGATCTATGGATGTGGTTAGTTTCCTAATTAATTACAAATATAAAGGCTGTTCTTATTCATAATAATAATGATTCTCGAGCAGGAACAATAATAATAATACACTCTTTGTAAACTAAAGAAATAATGACTAAGATACTAGTAGTTTAGTTTTTGTCATGCCAGCCTATTAAATTCTGAACCTAGTGGTAAGCTGGCTAAGGAGACTCTTGGAAAGACCATTAACAACCGACACTTAATTTTTATTGTTATAATTCAGGTAGGTATATTTTAATGGTGGTTATTTTTGGTTATTCATAAAGAACATAAAATACTGGAAGGAGTTTTGTTTTTATTTGGAGATTAATGATTGATTATAATAAAAGTAAATCTTTGTAAAATCAATGACCAATTTCTTGTCCCTTTCCCTTGTTGCCCTTAGTGAGTTGAGTTGCTTCAATCCCAGTCTCATGGTGTACATTGTCTTTATACCTTTTTAAGTTAATCCATCAGTAGTATATATACTTAGGTAGATATTTTGTATAGCTACAGTATATGGAGCTAGGAGTTACCTCTGGTTTTTTTCATCTTTTATTTTTTCTGTTCCCTTCTTCCCCTTTTCCTCTCCATAGAAAACTAGTCTTCAGTGGGCTGTTTTTTTTTTTTAATTTTATTATGTTATGTTAATCACCATACATGACATCATTAGTTTTTGATGTAGTGTTCCATGGTTCATTGTTTGCATATAACACCCGGTACTCCATTCAATATGTACCCTCTTTAATACCCATCACCAGGCTAACCCATCCCCCCAACCCACCCCCTGCCTCTAGAACCCTCAGTTTGTTTCTCAGAGTCCAGAGTCTCTCATGGTTCGTCTCCCCCTCCGATTTCCCCCCTTCATTTTACCCTTCCTACTGTCTTCTTCCTTTTCTTTTTTTAACATATAATGTATTCAGTGGGCTTTTTAAGGCATAGGGAGAAGAATGCTAAAAGTACCTGTAGAAGAGGAACCCTTTATATAATATGTAACTTCGTTGCATATTAGCTCAATATATTTTGTTTCACTCTATTGCTAGTCAACTGACTATCTATATATTAGTGACTACTTTTAAGTAGGATTCTTAGCTATCTAGTTGATAATAGTATTAAAAATAGGTTCTTCATTCACTGCTATGGGATATAGTTTTTTAGGAGTGTAAACATGATGCTGTGTTATCTCTCTGGATATTAATATTATTGTTCATGTCCTTAAATATGTATTAAAAATTCTGTGCTATGTAATAATCATCATAACTCAATGATGTTGTATTAGTTAGCTGTGTGGAAGCATTGTTATTTTATGGAGTCAGAAAATAGCCCCAGACTGAAAGATCTCTAGCTTCTGATGGTTGCTGGAGAGGAAGGGGCACCTTAGGGAAGTGTATGCCTTACCATAGTTGTAGGCAAAGGAAAATCCTGTTAATATTCTTGGTTTCTTTTTCTGTATTCTTACGGTATTAACTCCTAGACAAAACCTAGTTTATATCACAATGGAGGGCATTTCCCTGTTTGTAATCACTTCTGTGACCAAGGTATTATTTGTATTAATTAGATAAAGAATCTTCTTTATATCCCACTTTTGGGATCTTTTTCCTCAAAGATGTGTTTTTTGGTAACATATCATTTATTTTTCTTTTTATGGATCTCTCTATTTACCTTTCAGTGTTCTAGTGTTGACAAAATTTGTCTAGTGAGAGGGAGGGAGGGTGGGAAGATGTCAGCTAAGCCTAAATATAGTAGGGTTTAAAAAGATCTCCATCTCTTGAAGTTTCAGAAAAAAAAGAGAGGCCATAGTAGCTGGCAGTGATAAGACTTTGGTGTCATAAAGATTATAGACATGACCTAACACAGCTATGTTCTGTACTTGTCCTTTTGAAGAGTCTGGGACTGTTTCTGAGCCTGACTTTGCTCCCGCCTCTAAGGTGGTATAATATTTAAGGAGTAAATAACAGAGTGGAATCAGGCCAAAGAGCTAGTCTCTGGCACTGAAATATCTGAATTTTACTATCATCATCACACTTTATGAATTAGCTTGAAATTGGCCAATTTTGAACCTGATTTACTTTTTAAATTTAGATAGTGGCACCAAAACAGAATTCCGTGGCTTGGGGTGGCTCAGTTGTTTAAGTGTCTGCCTTCGGCTCAGGTTATGATCTCAGGGTCCTGGGATCGAGTCCTGCATCAGGCTCTCTGCTCTGCGGAGAGCCTGTTTCTCCCTCTCCCTCTGCTGCTCCCCCTGCTCTTCTCTCTCTCTCTCTCTGTGTGTCAAATAAATAAATAAAATCTTTAAAAAAAAAAAAGAATTCTATGGCTTTAATCTTTTTTTTTTTTTTTTTAAAGCCGGGGCAGAGGGAGAGGGAGAATCTTAAGCAGACTCCATGCCCAGCACAGAGCCTAACATAGGGCTCAATCTCACAACCGTGAGCCAAAATCAAGAGTCGGACACTGAATTGACTGAGCCACCCAGGCGGCCCCCACCCTTTTTTTCCCTGTGACTTTAATATTAATAGAAACTCCCTTTTCCTTTTGGTATTGAGCAGTTAGTAGTTACAGGAAATATATGTCACCAGAGTACATTGATTCTGTTGGAACTTGGTTGTCAAAGAGCATACATACTGAATGTTTGGACATTCTTGACATTATATAATTTTCTTAACTACCAAAAAGGGGGAAACTACGATGTTGGGGAAAGCAGCATTCTTGACTTTGTATTCATGCCAGTTATGGCAGCTCTTCTGCTTGATTCTTTTATTTACATTCTTTAACCAGAACATTTAAATATTTTACTTCAACAAAAAATTCTTAATATCATTCTGCTTTCCTTGTACTTTGTCATGTGGATTTTCCAGACCACTCTCTACTTGGATTTTCTTACAAGTCTGCCTTTACTTCTAAATATGGTCTGCATTTTGTTAGAATCGCTTAAAGGCCAGGTTTCTGTGTATATGTTTAAGACAAAATACAGTTTTTGTGTTCTCTTACATCAGAGTATTTTTTATGAATGTATATATTTTATAGATCTAGAAGGAGAAGTGAGAATGAGGGTGGGCATGCAGCAGAGGTATCTAAATACAAGTGGTAGAAAATAGTTCTTCTGGTGGTTTGTCTTGTTATGTTGTAGCGTAGGTAGTTTGTTTTCCATATCAAAAGGAGCCTTAGTGGCTGGAGACTGAGTATAACATGTTGATGGTCCCTGGGGAGAATTTCATTCCTAAAAGAATGAGATTGGATGAATAGTGCCCAGCTCAAAGATAAAGGAGTTGGCTAATCTGGGAGAAATTAAGGACAAATGTCTAGTTTGGTACTATATTCCAAATTATTACCTTAGCCTATTCAGAAGGTCTTTTAGTGGCCACATTATGATTGTGACAAACTATCATGTGTTTGGATGCAAATTGGGAATGGTCAGAATAGAATATACACAAAGTTGCTTTCTCTCAAAAGACAAAATAAGACTACATTTGGCAGTGTTCTGTGAACAGAAGCAAAATTAATTTTTAGATGGACTGAGAATGTAGAAATTTGCCAAATTTTGCTTTTGTTACCAAGTAGCCTTCTGAAATGATGATAAATAGTATTTTTAAATGAAGGATGGTGTAAATCTTTATGTTTAGGTTAAAAAGTAATACTCTAAAGCTGCTCTCTTTACACAGATCTGTAGATGTGTTCTGTTCTTGAATTCTTTAACAATAAATACCCCAAAATTTAAATGCCAAAAAATTTGTTATCTGAGGTCAGATTGCCCTTTGAAGCACAAGAACTTCAGACTATAGATTTGATTCCAGAATTTGGATTCCATGAAGCAGTCCATTTTGACTGAACTTCAGCTGGCAGGTCAGATACTATTGCAGTATTGATTGACATTAAAAGTGGATTTATGTGGAAATAAAAGAGTTTCCATTGCTACTTTATTTTGGTTTGTGTGGAAATATGTGTTTCCATTCTTGTTTTTATCTCATGCTTTAGCCTAAGAATCAACGCTGCTTCTTTGTTTACCAGTTTGTCTGGTCAAAGGAGGGGCAAGGTTGACCTATAGTCCTAGACATTTACAAAGCAAGTGCAAAGCTTTTGTGTGTTGTACCAGTGATTGGAACAAAGTACCATTCCTGTACTTTGTAAATATCGAAATTTATGACTACCAGTTATCATTTTAAACTGTCTAAAATTTCTTAGTATTTTCTCCTACTATAAAACATGTATCTACAGGATCAGCTCCAGGTGACAGTGCTTGGCTTCCTCTCAATTTTCTGAATAGGGTGTTAGCTTTTCCTCCCTTAGAGCCTTTCCTACTTTTCACATCTATGATTTTCACTGAAAGTGTGATGAAAACCCTATGGATTTCTTGGGAAAGGAAAACAAGACAGAAATAACTGATGAGACTTAATATGTAGCCCTTGCCAGATATTAATATTTTAATAGGAGAAATACCTGATAACTGGTGAGTTAACTTCTAGTGGAATGTTAGAGATTAGATTGGGGATGGAAATTAATTTCTCTTAAAATTACATCATAGAAGGAAGCCACCTATTCTCAGCACCAGCTTTTTATGGAGTCAGGTATTTTGTGATACTCATGTGCCTTTGGCTATTTATTCAGATGTTAAAGTTTGTACCACTTTACTCATCATCCAAGTATCCTCTTTAGAAAGAGGCAGAATTTGCAGGTATGCAGATTGCTTTACCTACAGCACTGAGAGTTTTATGACTTTTATGACTTTTATGACCTGCCCATGCCCATACCCACCCAATTCACAAAAGATTTTGTGTCATGTGTTATCCATTAAACATCATTAAAAGTTACCAAAGAAATTTGATTCTGTGCAGTATCAAGTTGGGATTTAACCATATTATCAATAAATATGTTCATAGTTGAAAATAAAATTTTCCTGCTCTCCTAAGATATGTTCATAGTTGAAAATAAAATTTTCCTGCTCTCCTAAGATATGTTCATAGTTGAAAATAAAATTTTCCTGCACTCCTTTGGATAATAATCTTAACATTTTGTTTATATCTATAAAAATCACCTGTTTAGGAAAAACTACTTCTTCAGACTTTTTTGTTTTTGTTTTAAATGGTAGAAACTTTTAAAGAAAAACAAGCTTTTCTGTAAAATACTAATTTTGGTTGTCACGTATTTTTCCCTGCCCCAGTAGAGGCTATATGTTGAATTTTACTTGAATTTTGTAATATGCTGAAGATAGTGTTTTAGCAAAAGGTTTGGGGAAGGTTAACCAAAAAAGTATAATTAAGTTTTAAATTCCTTCTGAACATAAAAATTCAGATTTATGTTTTATACTTTTTGGCTGAAATTTGTGTCCTATATTGGACTTACATAGTAAGATGAACAAAAAGGTAATTAGTCCAAAAAAAATGCAAAAAGACCATTATAAATGGTTTTTTGGCTATCTGATATTAAGCTATATAAGAATTTTTAGGTGTATTGGTATTTTTTTCTGATTGAATTTTGTTTTAGATGCCATTCTAAATATGGTGAATATTGCCGCTAATATTCTGGGAGCAAAAACTGAAGACCTGACAGAAGGTACCTAATCATTTTATGGGTCTTTTAAATATCTGATACTCCAAGGGTCATTCTAGTTAGGAAAATTAATTAATAAGCCAAGGAACTTAATTTTCATTTAGAAATATAGAAATGAATCAAAGGGACTTACCAATCTTCTATTATTCATTGTTTATTTGAATTTCACAAGTTCTCTCTTATAATACGATCCTGTCTATATAAAATTCATGAATTTCTTTTTTGACTCTTCCTGCTGTAGAAGTAATAATTTTATCCCTTATCTCTTTCCTGAAGTTTTCTAGTGGTACTTCATGCATGCTTTTATTTATCAAATAACTACTCAATTTACAAAGTGATTTTTTTTTTTCCCTCTACAGAATGCCAAATAAGAGTATTAATAGCAAGGAGAAACCACCTGGCCTTTTTTTGTTCTTAGAAAATACTTAGTTCCAAGTGTGAACTTAAAATGACCCATACATTTCTTCTTACTCTCTTTAGTAACTCCTTTAGGTGTCTAGAAGGCATGTTAATCATGTAAGATTACACAGAATTTATAGTCATTGACTTGCTTTAATTATCTGAGAAGTTGAGAATATGCATTATTTGTAGTTCTGACTTTGTATGATCATTTCTTTCTAAAAGAACCTTGATGAAAGAAAATAAAGTCTGCAGTAGCAAACCTATTTGACTTTTTTTCTCCCCCAGAAACTAAAGTTCTTTATTTGTTATAGTGAAATATCGTCATGGCATAGATTTTTAAAATTAAACTCAACATGGGTATCTTTCTTAAAATAGGAAATAAAAGTATATCTGAGAATGCCACTGCCACAGCTGCACCTAAAATGCCTGACTTAGCTCCTGTTTCAACTCCTGTTCCATCACCTGAGTAAGTTATATTGTGATATTAGAGTTCTGTTAAAATGGAGAGCTAAATGTACTAGTACATAGAAAGGTACTTGCGGTTTATGTGTGAAATGATTATCTATAGAAAGCTCTGAATCATAGGGCAAGCATTCCACAGCCACTTAAAATATCTTTGAGTTGCTTCTTGGGTACCAGGAATGCACTTCACTCCAGACCAGATGTTTGTTGTTTTGATATTATATATTACTTCTATTATTCACAATACTGAATCTTTTTCTTATTGCAAAGAATTGGCCTAATTCTGCAGGTATAGGTTTGAGGACACATTTTAAAAGCTTGCATTTATTAAGTTCAAATTTAAAAGCATTGATTAAGTACCTGTGCTGTGCCTCAAAAGCTACAAAGGTGCCTGATATTCCTAGAGCAGTGATTCTTAAATTATGTATTTGTCTCAAAACAAACTCTTACAGTGTTCACTTTCTTAAATTGAATTAGATAGACGTCTTCTCCTGGATTACAGTGGGGCACTTTGGACAGGAATGTCTGTCATGTAGTTAACATAAAATATCCTCATTTCTTTAGTCTTTTCTACCAGAGATGATTAAGGTTTTTTGCCACTTCTTATCTATAAGAGATAAGCTCATAGACTGGATAATTGGGTATAGTTATTGTAAGTTTATGTGTATTTCATTAGATATACTCTGTAAAATGTTGAAAGCCTTTTGTCTCAGAACTCTGCTTGACAGGATGAGATATTTGAACAGGAAATATGTAATGAAACGTGCAGTGGGTATGGTTTGAGCTGTAATTCCTAAATACCATACTAAATAAAAAATGAGATTTTTGTGCTTTGAAGGGCACAGTGACATACTTGTATTCTGTGTTTATTTGGAAAGTGACTAAAGATATTTGTTTATTGGATGACTAGAGAGAAAATATAGCATTCTATGTCATTGAGCCCTCGAAGAACCTAAGAAATCTATTTAGGATAGGGACATTCTTGGTGTTGTTTCTAATTATGTGGAGCTGTGCCAGCTAGTCCCAGTTTTAGGACTAGGCTTCTTCAGTAAACAACACATAGTATGTCTTATTTTTCAGAACTAAAGGAAACTGATTTCACTTTATATATGTGCGCACACACACACATATATACACACTCTCCTCCATATAGACATATGAATATTTATTGAAAGATACCACATCAGGCTTATATAGTAGTTTTTACTTTTCTCTATTAGTTTGATTTTAATAGATTTTTTAATATAATTGCTTACTTTTTAGTTTGTTTCTTTATATTTGTTTTAAATTCTTTTTGATTACTATATGCAATCCTTTGAAGAAGATAAATGAAAATGAAAGAATCCATGATAGGGTGTCACTGTTAAAGTTCCTATGAAAAGATGACTTATTTTCTTTTCCCACATTTGAGTTTTTTTTTTTTTTATTCTTATGTTAATCCCCATACATTACATCATTAGTTACATTTGAGTTTTTTAAAGTATAGCTCTGATTAGGGTATATATAGATGGTATATAACTTAATTTGTACCAAATTCCCTCCCTTTCTTCAGACACTGCTCCTTTTACTGTCTAAATTTATGTTGTAGATAGTAAGCAATAAAGATGTAAGAAATGTTATTAGAGACCATCTATCTATATATCATCTATTTAGAGAAGTGTAGTCTAATTGTGTTTTAGTTTTGTCCATTTACTTACTCTCAACAAGATGAAAATCTAGCTTTTAGATACTATTTTATTCCTACCTTTGCTACTATGATATTAGTCTTTACTCAAAGACATTTCCTGGCATTCTTAGTAATTTTTCAGAGTAGGAAAATTATATATGAAGATGTTTCTTTTTGGTATTCAAGTGACTTTATTTTTTCAGTTTGTACCTTTTGTACTGTAAGGGTTGCACCTGGAAATTTATTTTTATCTTGGAATGAACCACAGACATTATAATTTACAGCACTATTCCTACCAGCTCCATCCCCCTACTCCCCTACCTTACATACATACTCTAGATCCTACAGATGGTATTAAGTTATAGATGGGGCACTATTTATTATTAGCCAGGACTTTCATTAGAGTTGTTAAGTATTTGGCTTTAAATAATAGAAAATTAGCCCAGATGATGTTAAGACTATTTTGGGGAGGGAGGGATGCAGATAATCATGTGTGTATGTGTAATGCTACCCTGGAATTCCTCAAGTCATCCACAGAAAAATTTTCTTTGAGAAATCTAGCTACCTTTTAAAAGTATGATATTCAAATACAAAGTGCATTCATATATTAAGAATCCCAGATTCTAGTTCCTAGACTCCGCATATAAGCAATTCTTAAATAGATATTTTTAAAAAGCAAGTTTGATTTAGTAAATACTGATTTGAGTCATCTGACTGATCACTTGATAAATGGTCTTTCTGTTACCATTTCTGAATAATACTTGTTTTTATAATAAAACTGACTTAAAGGGGAAAAATTCATCCAAAAAAAATTTCAGTTTCTTTTATATTTCTAGTCTTCCTTTTATTTGATGTATGATACATTGATTTTTTAGCATAATTTTAACTTTAGATTTCTAATTAAAGTGATATGTAATTATCATATGTATTTCTAGGTTTGTAACCACTGAAGGACACATACATGATACAGAGCTATCATCACCCGATACTCCAAAAGAGAGTCCAATTGTACAGCTGGTTCAAGAGGAAGAAGAGGAGGCAAGTCCATCTACAGTGACCCTTCTGGGTAGTGGTGAACAGGAGGACGAATCATCACCCTGGTTTGAGTCAGAGACACAAATATTTTGCAGTGAATTGACCACAGTTTGTTGTATTTCTAGTTTTTCGGAATACGTATATAAATGGTGTTCAGTTAGAGTTGCTCTTTCTCGGCAACGTAGCAGAACTGCTGTGAGTAAAGAAAAAGATCATCTCATGTTGGCTCAACCACCATTACCACTTCCTGCAGAATCAGTGGATATTTTAGTATTGCAACCTCCGAGTGGAGAATTGGACAGTAAGAGAAAGGAAAAGGATGCTGAAACTATTGTTCTAGGTGACTTAAGTAGTATGCACCAAGGTGATTTGATTAATCACAGTGCAGATGCAATTGAACTTGAACCAAGCCATCCTCAAACTCTTTCTCAGTCTCTTCTCTTAGATGTTACTCCAGAAATCCATTCATTACCTAAAACAGAAGTGTCTGAGCCTAGTAAATATGAGGCAGGACCTACACCATCTCAAGTGATCCCTCAAGAGAATTCTGTTGAGTTTGATAATGAGACAGAAAAAAAGTCTGAGAGTTTTAGTTCTATAGAGAAGCCAGCTGTGATCTATGAAACAAATAAACTTAGTGAAGTAATGGATAATATTGTAAAAGAAGATATAAACTCCATGCACATTATCACAAAGCTATCTGAAACAATAGTGCCACCTGTAAACACAGCTACTATGCCAGACAGTGAAGATGGGGAAGCCAAAATGAACATAGCTGACACACCAAAGCAAATTTTGACTCCTGTTATGGATTCTTCTTCATTACCTGAAGTGAGAGAGGAAGAACAGTCTCCGGAAGATGCCCTTTTAAGAGGGCTACAGAGGACGGCTACAGACTTTTATGCTGAATTGCAAAATTCGACAGATCTAGGGTACACTAATGGAAATCTTGTACATGGATCAAACCAAAAGGAGTCAGTATTTATGAGACTTAATAATCGTATAAAAGCCTTAGAAGTTAACATGTCTCTCAGTGGCCGCTATCTGGAGGAGCTTAGCCAAAGGTAAGCTTTATTATCAATTAGCACATTCTCCTTTGCAACTTAAGTAGCATAGTATGTTTTCTGAGTAGAGGATTAATTATCTCATGATATAGTAGTAATCAGTACCATTTTAGCTGGAGAGAGTGTTACTTAGATGTTGATCAATGACTTAAAGAATTGATTTTCTTTTTTAGAAGTACTAAGTGATGTAATATCTTTAAATAGTGGTGACTTGGGTGACCACAAGTTTGAATTATCTTTAATCAGTTTTTCCTATCTTCTCTTGTTTAACTTGAGCCACTTTTACTGTTTGGCTCCCACAGTACTCATGTGAAAATTATAGTATTATATAACATATATATGTATATATATATATACACACACACACATACACACACATATATATACACACACACACTGTATATGTAATATCTATAAAAAACATTACATAGTGAAGCTTTTATTGGAATTAGACAAGAACAAGTAAGAGTTTAAATCAGTGAAGACTAGGGGCGCCTGGGTGGCTCAGTCGTTAAGCGTCTGCCTTCGGCTTGGGTCATGGTCCCAGGGTCCTGGGATCAAGCCCCGCATCGGGCTCCCTGCTCCGCGGGAAGCCTGCTTCTCCCTCTCCCACTCCCCCTGCTTGTGTTCGCTCTCTCACTGTGTCTCTCTGTCAAATAAATAAATAAAATCTTTAAAAAAAAAAAAAGTGAAGACTAGAGTAGACTGAACTGGATGATTAGGCAACATTTGCAGTCTTTCAAAGAAGTCCTAGAATCCTAGTTGTAGTTGTGATAATTTATGCTATTGTGTTCATAAGTGCCAGTGTGCTTATGCAGTGATTAGGGACCCCAGGCACAATTCTCCATTTTTTTATACCTGTTTACTCTTTTTATCCCTTAAGTGTCCAGTGTCCTCAGGGCTTTTCCAACATTTTGCAACCACCTAGGCACTAAGTGTCCAGAATGTCTGAAACACCACCTTTCCCTACTCCTTTTAAATTAAAATGCTACTACTGAGATGTCACTAAAGTCATCATTATATCCTAATGGGTTTCCTCCTAATCCACACAATTTATTGGCAAATTGTGTGCATGTGCATGCATGCCCACTTAAATACCTCCTACCTGGGGCGCCTGGGTGGCTCAGTTGGTTAAGTGTCTGCCTTCGGCTTAGGTCATGATCTCGGGGTTCTGGGATCGAGCCCCACATCAGGCTCCCTGCTCCGTGGGGAGTCTGCTTCTCCCTCTCCTTCTGTCCTTCCCCCTCCACCCCCACTTGTGCTCTCTCTTCTCTCAAATAAATAAAATCTTAAAAAAAAAAAAAAAGTACCTCCTACCTGCTTCTCCCTACCCTAATTGCCCCCCTAAGGGAACCACAGAAATTACTGATTCTTTTTAATTTTTTATTGAGATATAATTGACATTAATTTCAGATATGCAACATAATGATTTGATATTTGTATATATTGTAAAATGATCACCACAATAAGTCTAGTTAACATTCATTACCACACAATTATAAGATTTTTTCCTTGTGACAAGAACTTTCAAGATCTACTCTCCTAGCAACTTTCAAATATAGAGTATTATTAACTATAGTTACCATGCTATACATTACATCCCCATTACTCATACATTCTATAACTGGAAGTTTGTACCTTTTGACCCCCTTTGCCCATTTCTCCCATCTCCCATCCCCTGCCTCTGATAACCACCAATTTGTTCTCTCTATCTCTGAGTTTGAGGGTATTACTGTCATCATTATTATTACTATATTCCACATATAAGTGAGATCATATGGTATTTGTCTTTCTCTGACTTATTTCACTTAGCATAACGTCCTCAAGTCCATCCATCCATGTTGTTGCAAATGGCAAGATTTCCTTCTTTTTTTGTGGCTGAATAATATTCCATTGTGTACAGATACCGCATTTACTATATCCATTTATCATTCGATGAACACTTAGGTTGTTGCCATCTTGGCTATTGTACATAATGCTGCAGTGAACATCGGGGTACATACATCTTTTCAACTTAGTGTTTTTCATTTTCTTCAGATAAATACTCAGAAGTCGAGTTGCTGGATCATAAAGTAGTTCTATTTTTAATTTTTGAGGACCTCCCTAACTGTTTTCCAGAGTGGCTGCATCAATTTGCATTTCTACCAGCAAGGGTTCCCTTTTCTCTACATCCTTGCCAACATGTGTTATGTCTTATCTTTTTTGATAATAACCATTCTAACAGATGTGATCCCTCATTGTGATTTTGATTTGCATTTCCATGATGATTAGTGATGTTGAGCATCTTTTCATGTACCTGTTGGCCATCGTATGTCTGTGGAGAAGGCCTGTTTAGATCCTTTGCCACTGTTTTAATTGGATTCTTTAATTTTTTGTTATTCAGAGGTATACGTTCTTTATGTATTTTGGATATTAACTCCAATCAGATCTATGATTTGCAAAGTTTTTCTCCCGTTTGGCAAGTTGCCTTTTCATTTTTGATGGTTTCCTTTGCTATACAGAAGCTTTTTAGTTTGATATGTACTCGTTTATTTTTGCTTTTGTTGTCAAGTCCAAAAAGCCATCACCAAGATCAATGTCAAGGAGCTTACCACCTGTGTTTTCTTCTGAGTTTTATGATTTCAGGTCTTACATTCAAGTCTTTAATCCATTTTGAGTTACTTTTGGTGTATGGTGTAAGATAGCAATCCACTCTCATTTCTTTGAATGTGGATGTCCAGTTTTCCCAACACCATTTATTGAAGAGACTGTTCTTTCCCCATTTTATATTCTTAGCTCCTTTGTCATAAATTGATTGATCATATATGTGACTAATCTTACATAGTAGTAAGGTAGCAAATACCTCAAGGGATCTCTTTATTTTACCTTTGTAAGTGTTCCAGGCCTCAATAAGAGTCATTTTCAAAAAAGTAGATTTATCTCCTGTATTGCAATCAGAAGTGTGTTTCCAGTAATAAGTTAAGAAATAAGAAATTAAAGCTAATTTAATAAATCCTTTCTTACTCCATAGGTACCGAAAACAAATGGAAGAAATGCAAAAGGCTTTCAATAAAACAATAGTAAAACTTCAGAATACTTCAAGAATAGCAGAGGAGCAGGTTGGTCATCTTCAACCCTTATTTACTTTTTATATAAATTGCTTTTGAATTTTGTAGGCTCTTGCTGGTAAGAAGGATAAGTAGTGTTGGTTCATTTTTTTCCCCTGATAGGTGATGATAAGCCTATTATATGATGTCATGTTTGGAAAATTACCTAGCTATTAGCATCTATATCTCCTCTAGAGAAAATTTTCTTGAGCATTATTCCTATTACATTTCTAAGTTTGTGTGTGTATATGTGGTGGAAAGGCAGTGGCTTTTTTTTAAGCAGCTTTGTTAAACTCAAATCTTTTGTGGTTTTCTACACAGATAATCTAATTGATTGCAAATAAGTACAGTTCTGTTTCTTCTTTTTAATCCTTATACCTTTTCATTTCTTCTTTTTTCCCCCTCTATCTCTTGCCTGTGATGCAGTATGACTGGTAATATTGGCCATTACCCTGTCTTCTTGATTTTAAGGAAACAATTTCAGTATTGCACAATTTCAGTATTGCAATATCCAGATGTTTATTAAAAGTTTTTACAGTGTGTTACTATGATGAAGAAATTTTATACTTTGCTAAAAGTTTTTCTGGGACTAGGGGATGGTGAGATGAAGTGAGGAGGCCTGAGGTTTCAGAGTTTAGTTGCATCTTACTGCTAGTTCCTAACACAATCCAGTCGTGGTTCCATACAGATTTCCTCCTTTAGTTTTTTTTTTTTTTAATTGAAGTTTGAGAGTTATTTAAAATGTATTCAGAATACAAGTCCTTTATTAGAGATATACTTTGCAAATATTTTCTCCCAGTTCATTATTTCTTTTGTCATTCTCTTAAAAGTGCCTTTTGAAGAGCAGAAGTTTTTAATTTGTTAAAGCCTGTTTATCTATTTTCTCTTTGCTCTATAAAATCTTTCCCTAACCCAGAGTCACAAAGAATTTTTCCTCAGTTTTCTTCTAAAAGTTTTATAGTTTTCGTTTTACATTAGATTTATAATCTATTTTAATTTTTACATGTTCTGAAGTATGGCTCAAAGTTTTTTGGTGGGGAGGGGGATAGAGAAACGTGAATAAATTTCCCTTTATTCCGGTATCATTGTTGAAAAGACTACCCTTCCCCCCTGAATTTCCTTTGCACTTTTGATAAATAAAATATAAATCAATTCTCTCTCTCTCTCTCTATATATATATTACATATGTCTGTTTCAGGGCTTCTCTTTTGTTCTGTTTATCTATTTTTATGCTGATAACAGACTGTTGCGATTATTGTAGCTTTATAGGAACTCTTGAAATCACATAGTATGAATCTTCCAACTTTGTTCATCTCTTCCAAAATTGTTTTGGCTAATATTGATTTTAGAATCAGCTTGTCAATTTCTACAAAAAACAACCTGTTTGCATCTTGATTAGATTTTATTGAATTTATACATCAGTTCGTAGAATTAACATCTTAACAATATTGTCTTCTGACCCATGAGCACAGTAGTTATTTAGTTCTTCATTAATTTTAATGGGTAAAATGATTTCCCCTCTATATTTTCTCATCTCAAAGACTTATTTAAATACTTGTAAATAATTTGTGTGTTATTAACAGTATTGGAGGTAAACCTTGATTAGAAGTGTTGACTAACTTATTAAATTTCATAGTTTTTTCTTTAAATGATTATAACTATCTGGAATTTATCAGTATTTGTCAAATGTGAGTCAGAAGAAACAGTTTAATGAGTCAGGTTCAGCATTTGAAACAGATGAAGTAGGATAGAAAGTACCACAGTATTGCAGTAAGGGATGTAAGTGAAACTTTTTGTTACAGTTTTATGTATCCATACTGCGCACACACACACACACAGAGTTGAGATTTAAAACTTATTTATTTTAAGATTTTTATTTATTTATTTGAGAGAGAGAGCACAAGCAGGGGGCCTGGAGGCAGAGGGAGAGGGAGAATCAGGCTT